TTTCACTTCACAATGCTTGATTTGGTGAAGGTTCAGTCATTTTGTTTTTTTTTCCTAAATGAAAAAATGCTTATAAATCCGCTTTCTCCCTGCCACTCTTATATGGTACTCGAACCCATGAACCTTTGGCAATCCGGGCAACTGCTCTAAGCACTGATCTATCCAAGACCTAACAGGAGTGACGAATTTTGCTAGCACTTGTTACTTTTTCGCTACTCCAATTTCCTATATAATAGGAAATCTTTTCATTATTTGCTTAGTGATATGATAAGAATTCTTGTACTTGTCGTCGTAAAAAATAATAAAGTAGCATTTCTATCCCTGACCCATCGTATTTATGACTGAATTCCCAGAAAACAATTTTATTATTAACTTAGAAAGTAATTTTCGTATTCCATTGGGGTATACTATCCTATGTTTGGTTACTTTCCTCTAATAATTTTATCCAATGCCATTACACTGTTTAACACTTCAGCTGCCACTAACGAGCGTAATAAGCAATCGTCAAAGTACAAGATTTCCTTAGTGAGTACCATCATGTCCCTAGCGTGCCAATTGGTCACTGACGCTTTACCGCGAATCGCCCACACAGCCGAGCATACCGAGCCGTCGCCCTGCCAATTTAACCAATATAAAATGCATTAACATCACTGCACATGCCGACAGATTTAGCTTAAATGGGTCATTGTGACCATGCTGCAGAATGAGGTGGAAAATAAATGCTTACACTAATTCAGTAACAGCGAGTTGCACAAATGTCCATTAAAATTGTTATTGGTGTAAAGCGACATTACCCATATTTTAACATTCGTTAGAGCTTAAAGGAGTTATTAAATCTTAACAGATGTTTGTGCGGACGTTTGTGCGTTAAACGTAATCTCGGTTGCACCATAATTGCATTAAAGTTAAGGTTTATGTTAAACTAGCACACGCCAGCGGCTTTGCCTGCGTGTTCCTTAGGGTAATGTTTAGTGGGATAAAAAGTAGCCTATTATCTAAGTCAGCTTATACCATATCTGTATACTTAATTTCATCAAAATTCGTTCAGTAGTTTTGGCATGATTGACGGACAAACATCCAGACAAAGAAATTTTCACATTTATAATATTAGTTGACGTCACAAATATTAACTGTTGAATGCGTTGCACCATCCTCTTTTTGGCACAGTAAAGCAATAACTTTAATCATTGCCAATTAATAACTCATTATTATTTGTTTAACCGGTACTTCACAATTTTTATTATTGTTAAAGCATCTTCTTAGTGTTAGATAAAAAAAGTATAGATACCAATTGAAAAATCTGTATCTAGTGTCACACCTATATTTGGTACAACCGCGAGACGCAGTGTCCAATGTATCTTTTTTATAATTACTTTGATATTTTCAATGAATACCTGACATGATAATGATGAACATTTAGAATCATTACTGTAAAAATCAGATTACAAAAAATGTGATTACAAAGTAAGGAAAGAATATTTCAATTGTGTTTGATCCACCAAATACGATAGCACCAAAGAAATTGAAGATTATGCTCAGAACACAGTTATGTATTAAAAATGTACTGATGCAATTTTTTTATATCCGATTAATATAAAATTGCTACAAGTAACTGCCACAAGATACTGTCAATCGATATCTTCATTAGAATTGTTTACAATCCCTGTTTGTGCTATTGCTGTAACTGGATACCATAATATAATATATGATTAATAGTCGATGGAATCATTTCAGACATTTGTCTACATGTTCTGTCCTCATCTACGGCATTGAAAATACGCAATAAAGACCAGAATATAAGACAAACTGTTCCCGATATATCAATTCGATTTTATAAGTCCAGAGAAACAATTAATTTCATCATAACATTCAATTAATTGTTAAATTAAAACTTATCCCTTTCCGATTATTATGGTCTTACTGAATTCCATTCGTGTTACATAATTCAAACTGGAATCTAAAAAGAGGACATTAATCGATCACAATCGCAACAATAAGACCTTACCGTATTACGTGTATGTTGTAGGTGTACGTTAGTATCTGACACAAGACGTCAACCATGTTGATGGAATTGCTTAATAGCTGGCCATTATATCCAGTTAATTACTCCTGTTCTCACTCCAGAGCTTGGCCTTAATATAATGATGCCGTTGGTAGTTCAGAAATGTGAAGGTGTAAATAATTATTAGCTCAAGTAATAACTATATAGTTTTATTTTTTTTATAAATCTTTCAACGAAAAATAAGTTTCAGCATTAATTGAAAAATTTATATTATTTTATTTTATTAGGCGATCTGAATGAAATTTTGTGGATCATTCTTTAATAAGATAGTGGCATTTATTAATTAAGGGAAAAACAATGTGCCTAATATTGAACCTTGAAGCACGGTTATTGTGTAGGACGTTGTTGTAAATACCGCTTTATTAATGACGAGTTTCGTTCAAGTAAAAATACATCACTTGAAATACCTTTTTTAAAACAAAACAGTAATATACCATAGATAATGTCATAATGTAATATCAGACCATTAGAAGGTTATTTAAATACCTTTGCTGTTGGACTGACCCAGTTTGCTCAAAATAATAATATCTTACAACCTAACCCTTATCAATGAGAACTTTAGACCATAACAGGTAGCAGTCATAATTACGTACAGAATTACAACGGGCGTATAGCAATGAATTCACTTCCAACTTCCATATATGCCCTTTGCATGCAACATACCCAGCTTTCGTGTGTTGCTTATCGAAAATGTGCTCTATGCTTATCGATATTAGGTTTGTGGTTTGATGTGTTTTGAAATGTGAACCAGCCATGTAACGTTAAATAGTGTTATTGCTAGTGCTTGTAAAACCCGTAAGTTTACCGTTGCGGTCTCATTGGTAGTCGGTGTGAGTTTCATAATGACTAAATTGTTTTTTTTTTGGAAGCATTCAGTTTTTATTGCCATTGGATTTCATCATCTATCACATTGAACTGGTTGACTATTATTTTTTGAATAAATACTCAAAGAAAGAATTATAATAACATCGATAAGTCCAAATTTATCATTAGCATGATTTGCAATTTCATATTTTCGACCAATGAACTGATTTATTAATCATAAATGGAAAATTGTGTTGGAATCCAGTGATATAAAATACATTCTGTAACTGTAGTGTAGCTAACAAATCGTAAACTTAAGAATTGCGTGGCGTGTACAAATCGCATTACCAGGTTGCAACCCTTGCTTGTGCATCATGAACAACTAGAAACAATTCGAAATATTTATTTACAGCAGTAGTTTCTAAATTCATCGCTTGCATAACATTTTACCGAGATTAATACGATTTCGATAATATCGATTAAAAGTTGTGATACTTATAAAATGTCGCTATTAGTCACGACCAAAAATTTTTAATACAATACTTGCAATTTTACAGAGATGTTGTTGATTTAGTTGATGATATTGATGCAATAGTTTTTTTAGTGTAATCTAACAAATCTCTTTTGGATTATTAAATCGTTAAGTAAAGTAATAAATGTTCCGATAGTTTGTCAAGATTTTGTGTTTTAGCTAAAAGCAGTGTAAATTACAAGAAAGTAATTTTATTTCTTTGACTGTTCGAAACAATCTAAATTGCAAATCACCAAAAAGAAGTTTGCAGCGGTAGATGCGTGCAATAGCGCGTTCAGGCCACATGCCGCAGTTCTCAGGAAGACGATGAATAACTCATTGTCTGTCCGTCCGCTCGTCGTGCGTGACGCATGTTCTCGGAAATGTTGCAACTGAGATGTTTGACCCACGAATTTCGCTGAGAAATTGGCGAAAATGCCGCCGAGGCGCCGCTCGCTGCATCTGTAATTTGTTGTTTTTTATGTTGGCACTTAATCTGTGTCAACAAAGTTGAGCTGAAAGTGGCAAGATATAAAGGTGAAAACGGGTTTTTTAATTGGTCAGTGTGTATTTCACTTCTAATATGGGTGACCTTTAAATATATAATTTGTCAAGGAGAGTAATGTGAAAGATTATAAAGTAACTCGCAAAACTCACTGAAATTTGGCCAGACAAGTCGTCAGATATAAATAGATGATCCCATCTATACCATTTAAAATTACTTGTTGAAAGTTATGTTAATGTATGTTTCTTCAATTTAATCTTGAAGTAATATTTAAATATACTAATTTTATCAAGTTATTTCCTTTTAATGTTCTTATATGGGTTTTTCCCAACTGACATCTAGCTTGTTACAATTCAAATAACAGTTACACGAACTTGCTCATTGATTGTGTCATTGTTTTTTAGAATAGAATGACGGTACGGTGTCATAAAGCCGAAGCTAGGGGCCTTAACCCCGTTGGTAACTACGTCATCTTTGATTCCCACCAAACGCGCACCAAAACTGCATAGTTGCACTGATTAAAAATGCTGCCTGCGTCTCATCCACGTCGGCATCGGTCACCAAACAGCTAAATATTCGCACACGTCTATTGTCGTCCAAGTTTATGGCTCGGCAGCCTTTATTGTCGCTAGTTAGCATTCTAAATTGGTGCCGCGGTCGCTTTTTTCAAACCGCTAAACGTCATGTCAGAGCAATAAAATGGGATACGACGAATGGCAAAAGCATCGTGATTCAACATGAAACAATTACGATTTATCAGTGTGTGGAATATTATGATTATTTAATTAGAGAGTTATCGAATGGGAGTAATACTGATTGCAATAAATAAAACTAACTTTCGTCTTAGGAAATTATTGCCTAGAAATATATTAATTTTCAAGTCAAAAATGAAATACTCATGAAGGTTACATGTTGAAACTGTTTTGTAGCCGATGATCCATATTGTGTACTGTGTTGTTATTTTATGACGGAGTGGAGTAACTTACCGTATTCACCTTGGAGTTGATGTCATATAAGCATCGAAAGACAGTTTTCACCAATCAATCATCATCAAAACTATAATTCTTGTAATACCTCCGACGATAAAATATTTGACCGAATACTGTCTTTGTCAACAGGTGAACCGGCCACTAACAATGAAAAAAGAAGGTATTCAGACAAGAAATCGCAAGCTTAGCAGTAAAAGTAAGAAGAAAAAAGGGGGCATGGGAATGGGAGGAGGTGGGGCGTGTGCACTTGCCCTTGGCGGCGTCATGGGTGACATGATCAAGCCACTAGGAGACGCTACCAAGAGCTTCGGTGGGTCTGCTTTCCCATCGGCCATGGACTTCGGTGAGTTTCAAATATATTGTAATATTAAATTAGGAAACATCATACTATGCCAGCTCATCCATTCTAAACTTAGCGTCGATAAATCTAATATCTCTGTGAGCTTGTTTTCTGGCAGAAAATAACTTCTTTACATTGTCTTTGCCTGAGTCTGATTGTTATACCACTGTTAAGTCTGATTACATTAATACTTTGAAATTAGAGCAACATTCATGTCTTCGAACACTTTATGTTTCAAATAAGATTTCTGTCATTTACATTCATTTATAGAAGTTCGGAAAAATATATTTCTTTAAATGTACGCATTTTATTATGCAAAGTCATTGTGGTGATAGCTTTCTTACTTTTTCATTTATTTGTTATTTTATTAGTATGTGCACGTGTATTAGCAGAGAAACCCATATGTTTACGATCATGTTTACGCAGGTCAACACCAAGTGGGTTTGGTTCATCCGGCGGCGGCGCATATGTCCCACTGGTACGGTGCCCCACACCAAGGTTTTGCGCCTCCACCGGCATCCCACAATCCATACCATCACCATCACCTCGCGCAACTAAATTCCATGGTGAGAAATCAGTTACATTGTCTATGCTAATTATTAAAATATTACTTGTCATTCTAGGAATGAACAATACAAAATATTTCTATTTTCTCTTTTTACGGTAGCTATATTGATTTACAATAAAATGTTACTTCTACTTTAATTTAAAACAGTATAGTTACTCTTATTTTTGGATTCCTTTTGTACCTTTATAGTAACTTTTATAGAATTAAATAAAGCAAGTGTAATAACAAAAATGTTTTATTTACAGACCGGTTGGAGGAGTGAGTATACGTGATAAGTCAACTAAACAAGAATGAGTCCTTACAGGATCTACGTTAGATGTCGTTGAAAATAAACCATGACACCGTCCACTACAGGACAGGTTCCAGTGAGCCTCAGAAAGCGAGAGGCAATGCGGAAAACAGATGCTGTGATCCCAGTTAATAAATTGTTTGTATTACAGGGTGCGATCTGGCAATGAAGACGGTAAAGCGGGAAAAATAAAAAAAAATAGAAAGGCACAAAGTCTGTTTACCAAGGCCTTTTATATTTAAAAAAGTATTGAGCTTTTGGTCATATTTCGCGCCAATACTTTGAGCACCGTTTTCATATCTAGATTGTTTTAGAATGTACACTCTAATGAAAATATTCATATTACTTTGACACATCATGTAATTGCAAGACTGTAAAACAGAATTGATGTTTCTACATTTTTATCAGCAAAGATACAGTTTAGAATAGATTGAACATATCTCAAAAACGCACCTCATCCCAGTGAAATTCCCAAGACTTTGATATGCCGTGATCAGTTTCCTATAAGTGTTACGAGTGTTTTACACGAAGAAGTAATTAGCGAAATTGTACAGTATTATATTATAGTTATTAAGTCGATATTACGATACTTAATTATAGTTCAAAAACAATTTGTGTATTTTGTACATATCTTTTTTAAGTTATATTATTCCGTTCCTGTATAAAAAAAGCTGTCTTTTTTAATTATTTAATTTGAACGGTTCAGTTCGCTATAGGAATTGTGATGTGTTCAGAGAAATTATTTTCCAGAGATAATTTGTTTTTTTTTTTCTTTTTGTACATTTTAATTTGTGTAGATGATATTGAATGAAATGCAATAGTAATTTATGTAATAGTTATAAAATCATGAGGAATGTAAATAATTTAATAAAGAAAGCTGTTTTTAATAGTTACATTGTTCTGAACTGATAATTGTGGATATCGAGAGGATTTTATTATTTTTTATTTATGTTTGTATATGAATATTCCCCCCTACGTAAATTTAAGAGAACAGGTCACTTATTTGGTTTATAATTTAGTATATATCGCAACATATTTTTTAATAAAAGTATTCAAAATTGTATTATTTACTGATGTAAATTTAAGATACTTGTGGCCATAAATTATACTGTGAGATCTCGTTTGTGAATAAGGTAATAATTATAATAAGCATACGTTTTTCTAAATTAAGCTTTACAATATTCGCAAACAAGATCTCTGGACCCCAAAATGTATATATGTCATGTAAATGAGCGCTGTAGAAAATAAATGAAGGAATCATTATAAGACTATCAGAATAAAAATGTAAATTAGCGATCAATACAAAAAAAAGCCTATAACGATATCCCGTACCTAAAATTTTTAGTTTTTAAAGGCAAAAAAAGCATTGTGAAATTGTGTATTTTAAATGAAATTGTGAATAAATTATCAATATTGATATTAAAGATTTTTTTCATTTTTCAACGTAACCCTCAAGTGACCCTCACGTTTTTGTTAGGAAATGAATCAATTGCTTGTCCAATTATGTCGCCTTGCGTACACTTCGCCATAAGTCACCGGATCAATTCCGTCGTTCCGTAGAAAAAGTCATACAAAAGTCATGCTTATCTCGTGGCAAATTGAAAATGCAGCCGGCCGTGTGATTGTAGCGCAACGGGCCGCTGCCGGCGACATATGGACCTATTCAATTTTAATCGCATTTCAGAAGAATGGACATCGGATAAAGGTGCCTATAAAACGCTCCCCGACGATAGACCTTAGTTAATATGCTGGTTTTATGTGCGGTTGAACTCCGGACGGATTTTAAGGGTGGCACATTGTTGGTACACAATTAATGTTTGCGATTGGCCTTTTATACGGTTACGTTAACACTTGGATGATTTTTGATCTGTTTCTTTAAGAGATTTAATGCGAAAAAGATTGCGATACTAGTGATTTTTTTGTTAAGTATTTATACGAACATACAAAGATTGATTGTAGCAGAGGTAGGTACCCGCAGAAATGGTCGGGTATTTTGTGTGGAGAGCTGAGGGACAGACGCATAAGTCACCGCGGCCGGTGATATATGCCCCGCTAGCGCGGGAAAAAAATGTCGCGAAACAAAAACCGCCATCAGTCAACGCGATTTATTGCTGCTGGCACCACTGGGTATTCGAGACGTACACTTTAGGTGGTTGGCCAGTGTTGCACTACTGCGGAATGTACCCCCCGATGTGACGGAACTTCGCACCTCGCTAAATTACGACTGCATTTCGGAATTAAATTTTCTTTATACATTCGCTGAATAATGGCTGGATTTAACGCAATCGTTCTAGAAAATAATGTAGCTTAAATTCCTATAAGTCTCGTTTCCGATAAATGGTAATTGAGCATTTGGCATATATAAATTACTGATAACTTTTTCACATGAAGCTTGATCTATACATAGTATAATTCGAATTCGCTTCCCGTTGTCTGTACGCTGAGGTCTTTAAAACTTCTCAACGTATTTTATTGCTGTTATCATGAACATATAGAGTGATTCAAGAGAAAGCTTTATATGTATTATACAAGACTACGCCGGCGAAGCTGCTAGAGGAAAGCTCATTTAATTATAATAGTAATCCATCATGCCCCCCAGGCAAGTGAAAAACTTTCCTCAATATATTTCGTATCCAAAATAAAAACTGTTTTAATCAGTCTTTAATCATTTTGATCAATCAACGCGATATTATAAAGAGTTAAAAGCTTGCACCAAGTAAATGGAAGTTCAACCAAATGTTTATTTATTATATATGTATACTTATAAATTGTTAGTATTTTTATAAATTGTAGTTGTCACATAACAGGAAAGACCGTCTTGTGAAACTATGAAATCTTTGTGGCAAGATAATAATTATTTTATATTTTATGCTTACATTTGTATCTACTTGTAATAATACTTTTTAATATAGATATTCAATCCTTTTAAAATGTAATCAATTGATTATCAAATTGCTTTTATATTAACGGTAGCTTTGTAGTAATTTTATTATAACAAGTATTTGATTTTTTTAAATTTATTTTAGTATATAATCAATGTATACATATTTTTAAAAAGATAATAGCTTAGTGCCTATTTTATATCACAGAAATTTAAACTGAGTGAAAATATATTTTTTTTTAATTTAGTTTTTATTTATAAGTAAGTAGGTATTAATATATACCAAAATATACCAAAGTGAATTTTGCAATATCACCGAGCGCATCAAGTGAGTGCAAAGTAAATCCCTCTTATAAGTGTCCAAGTTTCTCGAAATCTCATAAAGCGCAGTCATAGAACGCAGTGATTCGTGAGTAAAGGATAGTCCACACTCGCCCGCTGCCGGCTATCCGCCTGATCCGGGAATCAATCTCGGACTTAACTCGCCTTATCTCGTTGAACCTTCGCTAGACGAATGTCACGACGCATTTCACTTTTACTGCTTTTGTTTCTTGATTTTGATGGTGTAACACATGACTATTATAGTTTTTTTAATAGCTTTTCATGTAAAAAGGACCAATATAAAATAACTGTTTTAACTGTACGCTAATATGATTAATAGTATAAACAGTTCTTTGGAGTCTCGATTTCACGATTTCCAGTTGGATCCAAAGTCTGGCTATGGACATGTTCGTTGTTTAAATTTTGATGATACAATAGTGTGTAGCTACCTAATTTGGCATCTGAAAAATGTATGTGATGTTTGTTTATAGGTATTTTACAAAAAGAACTATATTGACTTTATTTCATAAACATTTAATTTCAAATCAATTACAAATAAAATATTTTTTGGTAGCCTGTATTGCTAGTTGTGCATAATTCAAATAATTACCTTAGTATTCGTTCGTCAACCAGTTACTCGTTAACTCAACGATGGGTACAATCGAAATTGTTGCTAGGTTTATAATTACAATATTATTCATTAGAAATATTTCATATTTAGTTGTATACTCATACACGATGATCTCTCTCAAATCTGAATTATAACTTTTCAAATTCCGCATAGTTAGCTTCAAACTCATATTCTATAGCAGAATCCAGTGGGATCTAGCTTGATCCGGTCATCAGTCGTCCGGTTAGTGCCATACCAGTGACGCGAGGTGCGACTGTGGATCTGAACTGACCGCTTCAATCAAGTGTGAACGCTCTTTTATTGCCATCGTAATATAAAAGATAGACAATTTTCGTAGGTATTATATCTGAAATAATTTAAGAAATGAAGAAATATTATTCTGAAATATGAGGTCAAACTTTTCCATCTGTGTTTGTTTTATTACTCTTAGACAGGCGTTTCAATAGGGAATATGCACATTATTGGAAAATGTTTTAATTGATAATTTACATCGATATATAACTGTTAAAAAAATACTCGGCACTGAAAACTAATATTTTGTAACATTAACAATTGATGAAAATAAGTATGTAGTAGCTACGAGCCGTTTAAACACCGTAATTTTTGGCGCGCTTATCGTGATGTTAAAGTACACGACTATGACACGAGATATGACATTTTAAATCAATATGGATTTTGAGTGATTGGTTAATATTCAACAACCCAAATCGATTATTAAAGTATTATAGACTTTTTTATTAACTCATATAGTTTACCAAAATAGTGAAATAAAAATAAAAGCCTAAAACATCATTAAAATTGTAATCTGTTGCTTATTTTGCGACTTAATACTTTGATGTTATTGCATCGATGTTAACTTCTTGTAACAACAACATCCCTATACGTGTACATTTTTGTCACATCCGCTCTGACAAGTAGCATGGCGTTTGAATATTTTGAAGTTACCGCATTTTTTTGCACTTTTTAATAATTATTTTCAAGACGAAAGCGAACTAATGTTGAAAAATATTAACAAAGACTTTATTTTAAAGCAATAATGATCGTAATAAAATATATTAAAGCCTTTTTTTGAATCAAACGCATATTCCCTATTAAGAACTGATATAATAGTATCATAGTGGGACGAAAACTTAAAATGCAACATAATAAATGCCTAAAGGCATTGGTTTTCTGTTTATATATAGTTATAAAGTAAAATAAAAATATGCTTAAATTTTTTTTAAAATTTTTTACTTTTCACCTGTAGAGTCATTATTGTAATGTAAACATATCCGATAAAATTGTTAGTCGGAAACTGATTCTTAATATAATTTAAATCCGGCAAACTTTGATCCGACCAAGAAATTTGAACGTCTTGGTTCCGCCTAACAGTCAATGAATGAAGGGTTTTGCGTTAATTTATAAATAAACCATAGACACAGACATAACGAAAACTGTCAATTTCGTTTTGTTATAACAAATCAAGAAGTTTATACTATATTTAAAATTCTTGTAACAAATGAACGATGAACGAGAGTTCTATAGTTAAATTTAAACGCCAAGTCGCTGAACATTTGCATGAATTAGATGTATAATTGTAATTCTTAATATTCGTAGGTGATACCATAACCATAGGTAAAACACCACTATTAATTTGTTATTGTCTTATATATAATGTATAATATGTAGTAATTAAATCTATTTTATAGTGTGTTATCTTCAATAGTTGAAATATGTAAAAATAAATATGTAAATAGTTGCAATATAGGGAACTGTAGGTTTACCTTTTGTCAATATTTTGTGCTTAAAAAAAGATTAAAACTGATGAACAACCTCAATAAACAAAAAAAAAAAAAGATTGTGATATATTTAGAAAAGACACTATTATAATTTATTTTATAATTATTATTTTTAATTGATAAAATATAATATTGTCAAACTTATTATTATATTCCCGACGAAAACAAATCCACAAACACAAACATAATAAAAATCGGTTTTTACGTCAGTAGAAAGTTATATTCAGTTCTTAGAATGTCGTGTAGGTATCACAATAAAATTAAAAAGACATAAAATCTAATTCACCTTATTTTTATACGATATGAAAATCTTATAAGATAACAAACTTGCGTCTTCCGTATTTCACTTACTGAATTATTTATTTCACTAGAGATACGATATGTTGAAAGAAGTATCTCCCCGATAAGAGGGATTGTCGACTTCTGACATATACAAGCATAAAATTTTAAAGGTTCAAATCTCGATCATTAAGTTGGTAATAAACGTCGAAACTCGTCCTATGTTTTCGGTCTTACCATTCTGGGAATCATTCCTATTAGATAACAGATCTGTATTCAAATTAAACAGGAACGATTAGGTGGCGAGTCCAATGGAATCTAGTACACAACTGGTTTACAAATAAAATGTTTGAAAAACAGTTGGTGATAACTGAATGTTAACGAGATCTGTATCCGTCCAGATGGACAGAGTCAATCACTGTGACACCAATTAATTATTTATTTACTTAAATTATTAC